TTTTTTTTTTTTTTTTTTTTTTTTTATCGAGGATGATGTGGCGAAATGTGATTCACCTATTTTGTTTTTATTTTTTTTTATCTTTCAATGAATGCATGTTAAGTGTCGTCTGTGAACATTTTTTGTCAAATTTGTCTGTATTTATAGTATCATTGATTTTTAAACTTTATTCGAAAATATGAAAATTATTATGATTTTGGTACTTGTACATAAAAAAATGTAGATAATGGATTACATAATATGATGTGGAGAAAAAAAATTGGATGAAAATTTTGATTGTGTTTTAAACTGACGAATGGTAAAGTGTCACGTGACATTATGTAAATCTTGATGTACATGTATTAAGATTCAAATTATTAATACTTATATTTATAGCCCCAGTGTGGTGGGTATTAAAATCACATTTTTAGTAGATTTTGATAAAAATTAATGAAATATATGATTAAAAATTTGATAAAAGTTATGAATGTCATGAAATGTCTCGTTAAAATTAATTATCAAATAAGGGTATTAGGGGTGAACGCGGTTCGATTTAGAGCTTGTTTGGGAGAAAAATTGATTTTGAATAGTGATATGATGGGAAATGTGTGGTTGAAAAAGAAGAAAAAAATATTAATGTGATAGAAAATATTATTTTATTGAAGAATGTGTGGTTGAAAATGAGAATTGATTTACTGTAAAAAAAATCTAAATCCCTCCCAAAGAGGGCCTTAAACAGTTTATGACATATTTTCAACTCAAATCATTTTACGCGATTTGAAATTTTCTCAAATCAAACAAACCATTTTATTTTTCAAACCGAATCATTATTTACGGTTTGGTTCAGTTTTAATCCACGATTTACTATCAACATTATAGTAATAAATTTAAAACAAGTTAACATATAAGTTGATTAACACCTTAAGCGAGATACGATCTTACGAGGGTGAAAAGACTTTTGCTATTGTTTAAATTTAAAATGTCTCCATGTTAAAATTTAGTCAGTTTGTCATCCATGGAACACTTTATTAGAAAAACAATGAATATTGAGTGGCTAAATTGAAATATAAATCAAATTTCATTAACACGAAGAACAACTTATTTGTAAATTATAATTATCCACATATTTATTCGATATTTTATGGTAGAAAAAGATACAAATATGAACGGGAGAAATGGATGATTACCAATAATTTACTTTATGTCTTTTAAAAAAATTGCAAAAATCAGGTTATTTCGAAAGATTATGATGCGTTTGGTAAGTGATCAAAATTAATTGATTCATTTTTAGTATATCTATAACAATATTTTTTATCACTATAGTTTCCCATACAATTTGCAAATTAGTTAATTTCTCTTACCATAACAAAATATTGTGATTAGCGATACTCGAATGGCATACGTAACTGGCATGCAACATATCAGCAGTCACACACATGATGACACATGATGCTAATAAACGCCGTAATTACAATAAGTGAATTTTTGGTCAAATCATCCAGTTATTTTTAGGTTCAGTTAAGCTATATGTACATTAATCTTGACACCCTTGTTGACAGATGAGTGACGTTACAAGATTATGATTATTGGATTAAATGTGTGAGATGTGAAAGATAATGTGGGATTGTGTTAAGTGTAAATAGGCAAATCATGATATAAATCAAGATGCAATTCTTTTGAGATCCAAGTAGGATGACATGTGTATCTTATAAAAATTAATTATTACTTATTTTTACATGAAATAATATTGAATTATGAATTTTTGTTGGACTACACAATTGCTTTAGAAGCCCATTAATATACGGATAAGGCTTGGGCTTTTTAATGTTCTAACGTGGATTCTTCGCGTTGCATGTTTACCTGGGCTTCATATCAGTCTTCTATGCACACTGTAATATATGCTCCCCATCCCAATAATGTTCTTTGGTTATTATATAATCATGGGAAAAATTCACTTTCCCTACTTTATCTTTACCCTATTTCAAAAATAACAAAACAATTTTTATATTTTAAAAATTAGAAATTTTGACTTATACATACACATTTATATAAATATATAAATAAATAAATATATATGTATA